ACTAGCGTTGCCCTTTTCTGGCTTCCGCTTCCTCAAGCCCCTTCAGTCTGAATCCACAGCGAGCACTGATACAAAACGACACTTTAGGATCAATTCTCATTCCTAAAGCAATCCAAATCTCAATTTCTGACCAAGATTTCCTATTAGTGTGCCCTAATCCATTTTAATGTTTCACATTATCATTCCAAGGGTTTTCAATCTCAAAACAAGGATTAACAATGTTAATCCATCTATCTCAAGTCCCCAAATGAAGCTAATTTGGGTTCTCCCCGAAAACAGGGGTCAAAACAACACTTTTCAGGCCAAACAGGGTCAAACCCGTGTCCACCGGTCAACCGGTGACAGAGCAGTACAACACTACCGGTCGACCGGTAATGTGCACACCGGTGGCGGCGGGGGCAGCGGTGACCCCCGCCGGTGGTGGTGGCCGGCGACAAAAAAATGCGGGAATGTTGGAAATCGAAGGAGAAAGTGCCGGAAAAGCTCAGAAAGCTCCAAATGGATGGAAAGCTTGCGGGAAAAACATAATATGACGGATTTATTCCCATTCTATAGATCCGTTGAGCCAACGTGATGATACCATGACCCTTCCCTGGAGAGCGTTGGCACGTCGGGGATCCGACTGTTGCGCCCCAATCACTAAGAATTGAGCCCTGTTGTGCCCACGTGATGAAACCACGGCCATGCCCTGGAGAGCGTGGGAACGTGGGGAATTCATTGTGCCTGTGATGATAATTATTATTCTTTGTGCCCACGTGATGATACCACGGCTAGCTAGGCCCTGGAGAGCATTGGCACGTCGGAGATCCGACTGCTGCGCCGCAGTCCCTAAGAATTGAGTCCTGTTGTGCCGACGTGATGATACCACGGCCATGCCCTGGAGAGCATGGGAACGTGGGGCATTGTGCCCATGTGATGATGCCACGGCATGCTAGGCCCTGGAGAGCATTGGCACGTCGGAGATCTGACTGTTGCACCCCAGTCCCTAAGAATTGAGCCATGTTGTGCCCTCGTGATGATACCACGGCCATGCCCTGGAGAGCGTGGGAACGTGGGGAAATCATTGTGCCCATGTGATGATACCACGACTAGCTAGGCCCTGGAGAGCTTTGGCACGTCAGAGATCCGACTGTTGCGCACCAGTCCCTAAGAATTGAGCCCTGTTGTACCCACGTGATGATACCACGGCCATGCCCTGCAGACCGTGGGAACGTGGGGAGTTCATTGTGCCCATGTGATGATACCACGGCTAGCTAGGCCCTGGAGAGCATTGGCACGTCGGAGATCCGACTGTTGCGCCCCAGTCCCTAAGAATTGAGCACTGTTATGCCCACGTGATGATACCACGGCCATGCCCTCGAGAGCGTGGGAATGTCGGGAATTCTCGAAAGCTCGGATTATTAGTATTATTATTATTCTTTGTGCCCACGTGATGATACCACGGCTAGCTAGGCCCTGGAGAGCGTGGGCACGTAGGGAATCCTCGGTTGCCCCGGTCCAAAGAGATGAGCATCGTTGTGCCGACGTGATGCTGCCACGGCCTTACCCTGGAGAGAGCGTTGGGACATTGGGGAACCTCAGAAGATCGGTCATGTCGGTGATTCTCGAATGCTCGGTCCCCAAGAATGGAGTCTCATCGTGCCCACATGATGATACCACGGCCATGCCCTCGAGAGCGTGGGAATGTCGGGAATTCTCGAAAGCTCAGATTGTTAGTATTATTATTATTATTATTCATTGTGCCCACGTGATGATACCACGGCTAGCTAGGCCCTGGAGAGCGTGGGCACGTCGGGAATCCTCGGGTGCCCCGGTCCAAAGAGATGAGCCTCGTTGTGCCCACGTGATGCTACCACGGCCTTGCCCTGGAGAGAGCGTTGGGATGTTGGGGAACGTCAGAAGATTGGTCACGCCAATGATTCTCGAATGCTCGGTCCCTAAGAATGGAGTCTCTTCGTGCCCACGTGATGATACCACGGCCATGCCCTGGAGAGCGTGGGAATGTCAGGAATTCTCGAAAGCTCGGATTATTAGTATTATTATTATTCTTTATGCCCACATGATGATACCACGGCTAGCTAGGCCCTGGGGAGCGTGGGCACGTCGGGAATCCTCGGTTGCCCCGGTCCAAAGAGATGAGCCTCGTTGTGCCCACGTGATGCTGCCACGGCCTCGCCCTGGAGAGAGCGTTGGGACATTGGGGAACCTCGAAAGATCGGTCATATCGGTGATTCTCGAATGCTCGGTCCCTAAGAATGGAGTCTCGTCGTGCCCGCGTGATGATACCACGGCCATGCCCTGGAGAGCGTGGGAATGTCGGGAATTCTCGAAAGCTCGGATTATTAGTATTATTATTTTTTTTATTATTATTCTTTGTGCCCACGAGATGATACCACGGCTAGCCATGGCCTGTAGAGTGTGGGCACGTCGGGAATCCTCGGTTGCCCCGGCCAAAGAGATAAGCCTCGTTGTACCCAAGTGATGCTGCCACGGCCTTGCCATGGAGAGAGCGTTGGGTCGTTGGGGAACCTCGGAAGATCGGTCATGTCAGTGATTCTTGAATGCTCGGTCCCTAAGAATGGAGTCTCTTCGTGCCCACGTGATGATACCACGGCTAGCTAGGCCCTGGAGAGCGTGGGGATGTCAGGAATTCTCGAAAGCTCGGATTATTAGTATTATTATTATTATTAGTATTCATTGTGCCCACGTGATGATACCACGGCTAGCTAGGCCCTGGAGAGCGTGGGCACGTCGGGAATCCTTGGTTGCCTTGGTCGAAAGAGATGAGCCTCGTTGTGCCCACGTGATGCTCCCACGGCCTTGCCCTGGAGAGAGCGTTGGAACATTGGGGAACCTCGGAAGATTGGTCATGTCGGTGATTCTTGAATGCTCAGTCCCTAAGAATGGAGTCTCTTCGTGCCCACGTGATGATACCACGGCCATGCCCTGGAGAGCGTGGGAAGGTCAGGAATTCTCGAAAGCTCAGATTATTAGTATTATTATTATTATTATTACTATTCATTGTGCCCATGTGATGATACCACGGCTAGCTAGGCCCTGGAGAGCGTAGGCACGTTTGGAATCCTCGGTTGCCCAGATTCAAAGAGATGAGCCTCGTTGTGCCCACGTGATGCTGCCACGGCCTTGCCCTGGAGAGAGCGTTGGGACGTTGGGGAACCTCAGAAGATCGGACATGTCGGGGATTCTTTAATTCTCGGTCCCTAAGAATGGAGTCTCTTCTTGCCCACGTGATGATACAACGGCCATGCCCCGCAGAGCGTGGGTATGTCAGGAATTCTCGAAAGCTCAGATTATTAGTATTATTATTATTATTATTCATTGTGCCCATGTGATGATACCATGGCTAGCTAGGCCCTGGAGAGTGTGGGCACGTCGGGAATCCTCGGTTGCCCCGGTCCAAAGAGATAAGCCTAGTTGTGCCCACGTGATGCTGCCACGGCCTTGCCCTGGAGAGAGCGCCTCGGTTGCCCCGGTCCAAAGAGATGAGCCTCGCTGTGCCCACGTGATGCTCCCACGGCCTTGCCCTGGCGAGAGCGTTGGAACGTTGGGGAACCTTGGAAGATTGGTCACGCCGGTGATTCTCGAATGCTCCGTCCCTAAGAATGGAGTCTCATCGTGCCCACGTGATGATACCCTGGAGAGCGTGGGCACGTCGGGAATCCTTGGTTGCCTTGGTCGAAAGAGATGAGCCTCGCTGTGCCCACGTGATGCTCCCACGGCCTTGCCCTGGCGAGAGCGTTGGAACGTTGGGGAACCTTGGAAGATTGGTCACGCCGGTGATTCTCGAATGCTCCGTCCCTAAGAATGGAGTCTCATCGTGCCCACGTGATGATACCCTGGAGAGCGTGGGCACGTCGGGAATCCTTGGTTGCCTTGGTCGAAAGAGATGAGCCTCGCTGTGCCCACGTGATGCTCCCACGGCCTTGCCCTGGCGAGAGCGTTGGAACGTTGGGGAACCTTGGAAGATTGGTCACGCCGGTGATTCTCGAATGCTCCGTCCCTAAGAATGGAGTCTCATCGTGCCCACGTGATGATACCCTGGAGAGCGTGGGCACGTCGGGAATCCTTGGTTGCCTTGGTCGAAAGAGATGAGCCTCGCTGTGCCCACGTGATGCTCCCACGGCCTTGCCCTGGCGAGAGCGTTGGAACGTTGGGGAACCTTGGAAGATTGGTCACGCCGGTGATTCTCGAATGCTCCGTCCCTAAGAATGGAGTCTCATCGTGCCCACGTGATGATACCCTGGAGAGCGTGGGCACGTCGGGAATCCTTGGTTGCCTTGGTCGAAAGAGATGAGCCTCGCTGTGCCCACGTGATGCTCCCACGGCCTTGCCCTGGCGAGAGCGTTGGAACGTTGGGGAACCTTGGAAGATTGGTCACGCCGGTGATTCTCGAATGCTCCGTCCCTAAGAATGGAGTCTCATCGTGCCCACGTGATGATACCCTGGAGAGCGTGGGCACGTCGGGAATCCTTGGTTGCCTTGGTCGAAAGAGATGAGCCTCGCTGTGCCCACGTGATGCTCCCACGGCCTTGCCCTGGCGAGAGCGTTGGAACGTTGGGGAACCTTGGAAGATTGGTCACGCCGGTGATTCTCGAATGCTCCGTCCCTAAGAATGGAGTCTCATCGTGCCCACGTGATGATACCCTGGAGAGCGTGGGCACGTCGGGAATCCTTGGTTGCCTTGGTCGAAAGAGATGAGCCTCGCTGTGCCCACGTGATGCTCCCACGGCCTTGCCCTGGCGAGAGCGTTGGAACGTTGGGGAACCTTGGAAGATTGGTCACGCCGGTGATTCTCGAATGCTCGGTCCCTAAGAATGGAGTCTCTTCGTGGCCGCGTGATGATACGACGACCATGCCCTGGAGAGCGTGGGAATGTCGGGAATTCTCGAAAGCTCGGATTATTAGTATTATTATTATTATTATTTTTATTCTTTGTGCTGACGTGATGATACCACGGCTAGCTAGGCCCTGGAGAGCGTGGGCACGTCGGGAATTCTCGGTTGCCCTGGTCCAAAGAGATGAGCCTCGTTGTGCCCACGTGATGCTGCCACGGCCTTGCCCTGGAGAGAGCGTTGGGACGTTGGGGAACCTCAGAGGATTGGTCACGCCGGTGATTCTCGAATGCTCCGTCCCTAAGAATGGAGTCTCTTCGTGGCCGCGTGATGATACGACGACCATGCCCTGGAGAGCGTGGGAATGTCGGGAATTCTCAAAAGCTCAGATTATTAGTATTATTATTATTATTATTTTTATTCTTTGTGCCGACGTGATGATACCGCGGCTAGCTAGGCCCTGGAGAGCGTGGGCACGTAGGAAATCCTCAGTTGCCCCGGTCCAAAGAGATGAGCCTCATTGTGCCGACGTGATGCTGCCACGGCCTTGCCCTGGAGAGGGCATTGGGACATTGGGGAACCTTGGAAGATCGGTGATGTCGGTGATTCTTGAATGCTCGGTTCCTAAGAATGGAGTCTCCTCGTGCCCGCGTGATGATACCACGGCCGTGCCCTGGAGAGCGTGGGAATGTCGGGAACTCTCGAAAGCTCGGATTATTAGTATTATTATTATTATTATTATTATTACTATTCATTGTGCCCACGTGATGATACCACAGCTAGCTAGGCCCTGGAGAGCGTGGGCACGTCGGGAATCCTCGGTTGCCCCAGTCCAAAGAGATGAGCCTCGTTGTGCCCACGTGATGCTGCCACGGCCTTGCCCTGGAGAGGGCATTGGGACATTGGGGAACCTTGGAAGATCGGTGATGTCGGTGATTCTTGAATGCTCGGTTCCTAAGAATGGAGTCTCCTCGTGCCCGCGTGATGATACCACGGCCGTGCCCTGGAGAGCGTGGGAATGTCGGGAACTCTCGAAAGCTCGGATTATTAGTATTATTATTATTATTATTATT